AAGCCTTGTAAATATGCCCATAAATTACGTATACGCAGCGTAATCGCTGAAGAATTGTAAATCATTTGTAAACTAGCTTGTGCGAGCGCCACCCATTGACTCTAGCGCTCATTCCATATATCTTTTGTGTAGTGGTTACAGTTGTTAGAGCATTAACATAAATTACCTTGCACAGCGATCCATCCACAGCATCCACAGCACATCCCGATGCCAGCTTCTTGAGTCGTAGCCAGAGCCAGAGCCACAGCAGCAGCAGCAGCAACAGTCACACACAGATGCACACACACGCAGAGGACAAATGCATTGAAATGAAGTGGTTAAGTGGCTCAGTCACACACACACACACACACACACACACACACACACACACACGCACACATCCATATACACATTCAGTTAGATAGTCGCTTGGCTGGTGAAGTCAAGGAGTTGCACGTAGATTTACAGTTTATTTGCATTTCCTATGCATCTGGTGGCACCACAGGACCCGTTGCGGCTGCACCGCCGCTACCACCGCCACCACCGCCACCGCTGCCGCTCGCCGAGGACGTACGTGAGACTGGGGCATGCCCCAAGCCCATCATCAGGCGCTGCGATGTGGCCGTTGGCGTTGTGGGCTGCAGCTGCGGCGAGTCGAGGCTGCCGTTGCCGCTGCTGCTCGCATTTAGCGCGCTGCTGGCACGTGTCAGGAACCAGCAGTCCATTGGCGTCGGCTTGCCTTTCATAATGACCGGTCCACGATATTCCAGATTAAACGAATCATCCTGGTTGATCTCCTGGCACAGCAGGCTACAAAGAGAGAGAGAGAGAGAGAGAGAGAGGGAGTGAGATAGAGATAACAATTTCCAATCAAAAGCTTACTTTAACTAGAGATAAGAATATGATTTAGGGACATTCGCTTAAAACTAGTCCCAGCGCTCGGCGCCTGCTGAGATTTAAATTGCGAGCACTTCATATTGACTACGTTTGAGCTTGGAGGCGGCTACAATCGTCTGCAATTTATTACCGGTACTTGGCTAATGTATGTCAACATTGAGAGACATCCAAAGGCACATACACACACCCACACACACACACACACACAGAGGAGCACTTGAAGCCACTTGAGCGTGTCCTGGCCATTGCACATAGTTGGTAAATGATTTCGGAAGTACTTCACAATTTACTGCGAGCACATTTTATACAATGCTGAGAAGCAGAAGAAAAATGATTGCTGTTGGATGTATGTACATATATATGCACGCCTGGTATATGTGTTATTAATATATGTACATATAACTGCGGTATATATATTTAAAGTCGTAAATGCTGCAGCCAGAGCAACACAAAAAGTTTTTGATTCATGGCTTAAAATTTACTCAATATTTATAATTTATTATTATATAAATTATTATAGACAAAACAATCAAACCTAAATTTATTTACGTAAAGCAGTATTTGATGGCATTTAAATTGAATACTCAAGTCTATTGCTGTTCATTTGAGATGAAGGGTTGATTACTAAGAAAAGCAAATTTGCTATTTATATATGTAGTAGAGAGCGGCATGAATGCCAGCAAAATAACGGGATTCCAATTAAAGAGTGTGCTCGTACATGACTCAGAGGCAGAATATTCAGCTGAGCAAAAACAAATTGAAGGAGTGGAAGTGCGAGCTAATGAGTTGAGTAAATGAGTTATCAAGTTCGCATATGGGCAAAATGATGTTTGTACATGAAGCACGGGACTGTAAGAGAGTGTGCATGCTCGTCGTAAGATCATATTCTTAATGCCCATCAATGCTTTTATACCCTGCCCACAAATAATCATGTAAACTCAAACATTTTGCATGCGCATAAAAAACTCTTACAAGAGTATATATAATTCTCATTGAGAAGGAACAGAATATGATCGTTGTGCACATAGAGGGAGTGAGCAAAGGGCGATAGAAAGAGTAAGAGAGAGAGAGAAAGAGAGAGTGATCATTCCTGTTTGAGTGCACTCATTTTGTCGTGTCTTATTATCACTGCTCGAGCCTCAAGCAGCCGAGCCGAGTGAATGCGAAGTAGTAATACGAAGTAGTTAATGCATGCAAAAACTCAAGTGACTCCACTGACGCCTTCTCATCTTTTTCATTTCGTTTTAAGAATTCAGTTTTTCTCGCTTTTTTTAGTGAAGACTCTAAGCCATTAAGAGTCATAGCCTAGAGCCTTCAGTAAAATGAGCGAGCGCTCTAAGAGCGCACTCAAAATTCAACTCACTCCAAATTCAACTCACTCCAGACGTTTTATGCCTTTTCCTCGTTCATTCGACTTCATAGCGAATGGACTCTATGTGACGTCTGTTGAGAGTGAAGTTAGGCATGTCATGTTGCTTGAAGACACAGACTGACAAATATGAATCAAATGTATTAAAAAAAAAAAAAAAAAATGATTATGAAATTAATAAAGACTCAAACTATATTCTCGGAAGAGTTGAGGCGAATTTTTCAGGATTGGCAAAGTTTTTTTTTTTTAGTTTAGCACATCCTGTTGTTTTCGTTAAAATTTTGAAATTATTTAAACTATAACAGCAAAATAATCATATTTGTTTCTTTCCAAAGCAACACAAAATCTCTAAAACTTTTCACATTTCGCTAGTTTTGCTGTCGCCAAGTGCAATTTATTTGTTTCCCGTCACAAATTTATGTAAATATCTGCATTGTGTGTTTTCCCATTGAATTTATTACGCACACATTTCTGCTCGATTTTTCAGATTTCAATACATTTCTCTCTCAGTTTTTATGTCTTTTTATTATATTTTGTGTATCTGCATATATTGAATTTGTCTGGCTGCGTACGTGGCGCTTGTTGTGGTCGCATTTCCGTTTCCGTTTTCGGTGCAGTTGCACCACAATTTATTTGAATACCTCACACAACAAATGTGTTCATGTGTGAGTGTGTGTGTGTGTGTATGGGATGCCTTGCAGCATCTAGTTGATTATAGTGCTCAATACCTGATTGCATGCACATTTAATTCAATTTATTTTACCGTTCGATACGCGGTTTACATTTCGGACACAATATTCGATGGGCCACCCCTTAAATGGAACAATATAATAAAAGTCACAGGTGAAATTGATGTCTTTTCACTTTTTAATGGACTGCACATTATAAGATCTTGCGATTTTATCAGCTGAATACCCCGTACGAGGACATATGTAGAATGGGGTATACTGTAAATTGTTGGTAAATTCATGAATTTTGTCGATTTTTCTTGTTATTTTGCATAACTTAGGGTTAGGCATTGAATTATTTGGACTCTAATGATTTTTAGCATCTAATATCCTCCTCATAATTAGTGTCTTATTTATCTACATTTATCCTTTGTCTCGGTTTTATTTGATTAATGAGTATATTTACGTCTGATAATATAAGCTTCCATGTATATAATTAGCTTCTCCTTATATATCTAAAATTTGCTTGTTCTTTTCATAAGGATATACCACTTCATACCAGATTACAGGGTATTTATTGTGTAACTTGAGTAGATTCAATATATTTCTATATCGTCTTTTTGTTTAATTAAAATACACATTTTTTGTTAAAAGCAAATCCCACTGTTAATCTGGGCTACAGGGTATATAGCAGTCGTGCAACTGTCACTAACGTCCATTCTTAATCAACTCCTGTTTATTCAAGCGATTAAGGAACCGCCTTCAGATGCAATCAGACAGTAGTAATGAAATGCTGCACGTGCCTGGCCCGTAACTGTGATTGGATTTAATTAATATCTTCATTAAAACGCAAATTTGCACAGAGTGTAATTTGCTGCGTAAATATTGAAGATATCGCGTGTATACATTATGAATATTGAAGCGGTGTAATTGATATGCAGGCACTGAATATGCATATATCACGATACATTACATTATGAACATAGCCAYAAATAAATAACATTGAAGCGTTTCTCCTTACTCATATTCGAGACCCTCGAATAAACTGTGAAAAATGAGAAACTGAAATTGAATTAACATATGCAAATAAATTAAATTATCAGCCAGACAGGGCAAAAAAAAAAAAAAAATTATTGAATATATATAAATATATCAAAAAAATGTCTGCATTTCAATTGCATTTAATAAAATATATCATAAATATTTTGCGAGCTGTAAAACACTTAAAGCACTCTCAGAAGCCACATTTCAATTGAAACTATTTCCATACAAATTATGTGTGGAAGAGGGGGGCAATCAGAGGAATTTTCACAAAACTGTAATTACATATAAGTAAGTCGATTGCAATCTCAGTTTCAAACTTGATAGGGATTCCAAAAATTTAATTCAATAATAAAAACGAACCTTAAAGAAAAGAGACGAGAGTGAAAGCGAGCTGAAATTTAAGTACGTGTGGGTGAACCATCCAGAGAGACAGAGGGAGAGAGAGAGATAGAGAGAGAGAGCGAGCGGCGAGCAGGTAAAAACAGCTGAGCATTTGATATGAGCATTTGTTGGTTATGTTGTTTTGTTCAGTTCAGTTGCTTGTCGGCGTTTGAAGAGCTCGAATTATTGAATTGAACGTAGCGTGTTGAGAGTGAAGTACGGCAAATAATTTGGCTAAATGCTGCATGAAGTGATGTAAGTTGAAAGAAAACTGCAAAGGGACGCAAAGTGTAAGTTCCACCTGTTCCTGCATGAAATTCGCTCAGAATCACATATAAGGCCAAACAAATTACAAGTGGAATATAAAACTTGACTCAGCTCATTGCACGCTATTCCCTCAATTAATTAAATGCAAATAAAATGTGAATAGTTTTGTTTGTTTACGCATTGTTTTCGTTTGCCGTTTTGTTTTTGTTGTCTTCTTTCGTATCATTGCCAGCATGAAAAAATCAATAAGGAGAGCAGAGAACGCGTAGAGCAGAGAGTTGACGCTCACATACATTCGCTCACTCACGCTCTCTCTCTCTTTCTCTCTCTCGCTCTCACTGTGTGTGTGTAGCTCACCCCCTAGAAGCGAACTGTCGTCCGTCTCTCTCGCCCGCGTAGTTTTTCTTTCATTCAACTTCCGTGTGCCGAACTTTGTTTAACGTATTTTGGTGTTTTCGAAATTGGCCCATTAATTGGCCGGAAATTGCATTTGTTGCATATTAACCGTTGTGATTTGATTTGCTAATATGTTGTTGCAGCTGCTGTTGGCATTGCAGCAGTACGTAAGTCAATTAAAACGACAATTGGCTTCGCTGTGGCTGGCGACATTGCCGCAACATTTGTTTGGCTTCCGGCTATTGGTCGGCCAGCCCCGGGTGGCGAGCAGCCGAGCCAGTTACCAGCGCCACGGACAGCTGCCGCGACGCCGACTGGTCATGGACTACATCTTCGAGTGCTTCTTCAACGACACCTTCGAGCACATCACCCGCAACGGGCTCCAGGACCGTCAATCGCGACGCGACGTCCTCGATCACCTCAGCGCCATTGTCAAGGGCTGTGCCGATGGCCAGAATGTGGCCACCGATGAGGCGGCCAGCATAGCGGTCACAGCCGCCTTGCGGTTCCATCGACTGGCCAAGCAAAACAATGGAAATGTAAGATTCAAAAATCATTTGCAATATTTTAATGTACAATTTTTGTCATTCTTAGATTCCCATATCGATTTTAAGAGTCTCACTTTTCTGCATACAGTTCTTTATATGCTATTTTTAAATTTGATTAACAGTAAACTCCACAGGCAACTTAATAAAAGTAATTAATATAAAAGCATAGTCTCTGATATTTCTCAATATATGCTTGAAATAAAATCCTTATAATAGTAGTTTAAGTATTTCAAACTGCATATCTGTAATGTAGAGAAACAAAAGGTCAAGAGAAAGTAAATATATATGAGGAATTTAGAAGGAATTTAGATTTAGTTTCTCTTCAAGTATTTCAGCCTATTTTATTTCAAGACTTTTATAGCCAAAAGACGAGTATATTCATTTGCTTTTCTTGAAAATGTTTTCACTCTTATAGAACTTTACCAATTTCAACTTTCTTAAGAGCTATCAGATAACTCAAGTTAGCATTTTCTTATACCAATATTGCAAATCAAGTTGAAACAATTTTTTTGACATTAAATACCCAAAAAATTCATTTACATATTTGATGGCAAGCATCTAATTTATAACACATAACGAAGAATCAATATATCTATGTAGCCAAGGTATATGTTTCATGTAAGACCCGGTATTATGCCAGACACATGTACACAGCTAAGATTAATGCTTAGCTCTTAAGCCACGCCCTAATGCCAGCGTAATTTGTAGCACATGGTCCGAAAGCTTGGCTAGCATTTCATTTAAATTTAAATGCACTCTATGTGAGAAGACAACAAAAAAGGAACTTTTTTATTTTTAGATGAATATGTAAACGTGTCCTTTTTGCAGGTCTGCCTCATGGGAAAATATCACAACATTTTGTATATTGCGCTGCGCACCTGTTGGGATTGGGGTGTACGCGATTCTGAGGTTGTGGTTCAACTTCTGGGTAAGTCAAAGGCACAAACTTAATAATTTAATACCTACATATGCAGCTATGTGTGTGTGTGTGCGTGTGTATATGCTTTGGGGTCTGGCCTTTTATTTTGCATATTTTAATGAATTTTATGACGTCGCATCAGATTATGAAGCTCGCACATAAGCAGGCGAATCTCATTTAATCACGTGTTTGTGCTAATTGCGAGCCGGAATTACGTTAAGTTGATACAAAGGTGTTGCTAATGCGGCTGCTCCTGCTCCTACTCCTGCTGCTGCTCCTGCTTGTTTGCTTGTTGCATCGTAAAACTTGTTAAGTGCCTTAAAGTGTTGCAAGCTATTTGGGCCATGCCTCCAGAGGCTGCGCGCCTGACTATGTGGATATGTGGCGTGTGTGTGCATGTGTGTACATGTGTGTGTGTGCATGTATGTGTGTGTTTTCTCTAATTAAAATGCTGCGTTAAACTTGACAGCCTGAAGACGAGCGGAATTAATGGTATGCCAAGGCTGCAGGCCAACTGCTGTGTGTGTGTGTGTGTGTGTGTGTGTATTTTTGTGTGTGTCTAGCTTTCAGCAAGCGTTAAAACTTGCGTTTCTTTACCTATCATACCATGAGTATTGCTAAAATAATGTTTTAGGTAAGGTAGATCGATTATTGCATCAGAGAGTCTATCAAGCAGTGGAATAGGATATCTCCAAGTCAAGCAGCTCTATATCCTGCACTATTTAGCTAACAAAGAAAAGAGCTATTGCAAGTTATCCAGCTAAAAATAGAATAATTTCTAGTGCCACATGATCTATGCCCCGAGTTCAACTTTCTCGCATACAGGGTATTTGCTAGTCCTGCACTCGCCAGCGACACACACCTCACATGTTTTTTTTTGGGACATGCAGCAGCAGTCAAAATGTTGTCAACAGTCCTTTGCCTCGCCTGCGTGCAATGCGGCCCGCTCTTAGCCCAGTTAACTCGAGACCTGTGCTCGCTTTTACACACAAAATTCTGTTTTCTGTTTTCATTTTTTTTGGTTTTTGGCTGCTGACATTTTGCAAGCTTCCGTTTCACTATTTCCGTTGCGACTCCATTTTGTGGTAGTCGGAAAAACTGTAAAAGGGTGCGGAAGGGGCGAGCTGGCAACAAGTGCAGCTGGGTAATTGGCTCTTTTCTTTTTTTTTTTTTTTTTTTTTTTTTTTTGAGGGAGATGGTATGTGCTGCAGCCTGTGGAGTTGAATGTTCTAATTGCCTCTCTTGCTGCTCCACAGTGTCGATTTTTGAGTGTGAGAAGACGTTCGAGCGCATCTTTTTGGGCGCTCTCTTTGGACCACACGCACCGCACTTCATAGCCGGCTGGCGCAGCGATTTTCGGGATCAGGTAAGCACTTGGAACATATACATACATATATATAAGTATGTACTTCATATCTTTGCCTTTGCTCAACAGAACGAAAATGTGCGTGCCATGGTCTACTTCCTGAAGCATGCCACACGCGAACAACTGACGCTGCCCGTATGGATACCGCGCTTCGAGCAGGAGCGCCAGCTCAGGTAAGCTGACAGTTCTCGCCAAATTTATGGCTGGCAAAGAGCAGAGCAAAAATAAAATATAAATGTATATGTATGTGCTCTGCAGTTGGCTTCAATCGAATGGGAAATACTCTAGAGAAAAAGCAATTTCAATGAGTCGAAAAGCTTTCGCCTCGTGACTTTTTAATTGATGGCAGTACATGAAAGCCTTCAATTTGGGATCATAAATTTCCCATTGAACTGTGCTGGAATGGGGTGTGGCGTAATTTATATCTTATCTATTAGGCAAGAGCATGGGCTCGTTTTTTAATTATCATTTAACTTCTGATTGAAAGCAATTTATCTAGAGCAAGTCTAGAGTGGACCAAAGTTCTTTACACTCAGCTTCATATTCTGCAGAAAGTCGTGAAAACCTACCACGTAGCTATGCTCTAAGTGCCGCCAGTGCTAGAGGAGTGACTTTCAAGTTGACAATGGCAACAATGTTTTGTTGCTTGTTGTGTTGCGTGTAGTCGGATGTTATTGCTGTTCAGCGCGAGTGCCTGAAGGCAGCCAGCCAAACTAGTTTTCAGGTCGTGTGTGCCAAAGTCTATGCTATTTTTGTTGTTTCTGCCTCGAGGCGTCAAGTTTTACGCAGGTTAATTGAAAACCAGCCAAACCCCTTTACATTCAAAGGTAAATCAGACAGTACCGGAATTCAATAGAAAATTAGAGAATTACTTGTAATTAAGTACAAATTCAATTGATTCACTAATTGATGCGGAATGCCAGAACGGAATCGTTGCTGATAAAGCCTGAAAAATTGAGGCAAATTTAATGAATCTGTCTGCCTTGGAAGGCGGGCAAACAAAGGAGCTGCCTGTTGCCGGCTGCCTGGTGGGAAAGCGAGAGAAAATTACAAATAAAAAGGATTTTAATTAAATTAATACATGCTGCATTGTTTGAGCGCTCGGCGCGTGTTTGTCGCCGTAATTGAGTAAAAGATGGCGACACTTTACCAGCGCGCATACACATACATACACACACGCATATATCTGTACATGTAGACACGCAGACACTGTCATTTATTTGAACAATGGTCGCTGCGGCTTTCAATCTGAAACTCGCCTGGGCTGCTGTTGGTGTCATGTATAATTAAGATTTTCGCTTCTAACATGAGCTCAACTTGCTGTCTCTCGCATTCCTTGTTTGTTTGCTTGCTTTTTTTTTGTCGTTTCTTAGTTGCCACAGATTTATGTACATGTGTGTGTGTGTGTGTGTGTTGCTGGCTGTGATAAGCTGCAAACCAACTGGCAGCAATGTAAACCTTTTGTTATTTTGGCTTTGTTTGCCAGCACTCTGGAGGATTAAAGTCAAAAATGCGTGTAATAAGCGCACATAGCCAACACTCAAGCGCTGATGCACACGCCCACACACACGCCCACATAGAGAGAGAGTGAGAGAGAGAGAGAGAGAGAGAGAGAGAGAGAGAGAGAGCAGTGAAGCTGTCTGACAAGCATAAGAACATTTATGCTGTCCTCCCGCCAGATCTTAAACTGTGTCTTCTCCAGCCAAACATTAACACAAATGAATAAGCATTAATAGCTGGCTCGATGTATGTGTGACTGTGTGTGTGTGTGAGCGACAGTAAAAGCAAGCAATGTGCCAATAAACATTGCTGTTGAGTGTCACTAAACTTGCACAAATCAGCGTCACAAACTAACATAAAATGTGTAATAACAAGAATTTCATGTAGAGCATAAACCTATATATATAAATAAATAAACAAAAATCTGTATATATATATCATAAAGAGATTAAGGCTGTTAGAGAAATTGTTTAATTTTAGCCGAGCTTAAAGATCTAAGGACAGCAGCTGTTAAGTATACGCAACGTAGGCCCATCGCATGAATGAAAATTCATTTTATGTTCAGCGCTTGAAGGCAGAATTAGCTCATAGCATAATGTGTGAAAATAGTTAACGAAGCTAAAAATAGCTATACAGCTAAAAGTAGCTAAACAGTAATTATTGCCTCAACTTAAGCGTAAAGGAAGACGAATGAACTTTGATATTTGATATCGAATTGCAACATTTCGCTGGAAATTTAATGTTTTTGAATTTGGAAGCTCAAAGAGGAAAACACACCAGCTTTAACTGAGGAGCTTTATTTGAGGCAGAAGACCTGCAACCGCATGTACCATAAAGAAATCATGCCATGTAAATATCCTCTGCAGTCACAGTTTAATTACGCTCATATGTGTGTATATATAAAGCATCATATTCACAGTTTAAAGTGCTGTTGCTTTTAAAGTTTATTGTGCACTATAAATGTAAATTGTAATTCCGTTATCATAAACGTGCTAAAGGACCACAAATTTGATAGACAAACTGGACTTTTGTTATTTTGTGCTTAGCTGTAAATTAATTTGCACAGGATTTTACAGCACAGGCAATGTAAAATGGGCAAATGCGCTTATCAACTGCGCAACAGCAGCGTGTGTGCGTGTGTGTGTGTGTGTGTGAGTATATCACCTGCATGCGGGCTGCTGTCGCTTTATTGTGGTTTTGGGCCCACTTTTATGCGCAGGCATAAAAGCCAACAGCAGCACACAAAATGCCGCACACACACACACACACTCAGACACACACACACATAGGCATTCACACACAGCTGTGTGCCATTGTGTCGCATGTGCCGCAAAGTGCTTCAAGTGCATATGCTGTACAAGGTAATGTCTCAATGGAGCTAAACGCCTTCTAACAACGCTGCGTATACGCAATATTGAAGTTGTGCACTCTAAGAGCAGGCTTTCGCCAGAGCTAACAAAGAACTATTTAGAGAGCATGAGAGTAATATGCGCGAATTAGATACCCTTTCAAATGATCAAATTATATATAAATATATATTACTATCCCAATTCGGCTTACAA